GAGATTTTAAGAAGAGTTTGAATAATGAGCTGGGAAGCGAGGGAATATGATAGGTCAAAAGTTTGTACAGATTGAATGAGTAGAATAGAGATAAGACCTTTAAGAGTTGAGTGGAGAGAGTATGATTATTTTTGAGTTAGGTTTATGGGTTAGAGTTTAGGTTAGGTGTAGGTGTATAAATTGGGTTAATTGGATTAGGATAATTTAAGATCGTGTCAGATATAAGTTGAGATCAACTTGTCTGAGGTTCATTTTGTGTCTTAATCTATGATTTAGATTACTGCATTTTTACTCTAGAATGTTGACTAATATCTGACATGTTATACTAAATTCTATTCATACTATAGGTATAACAACATTATCAAAGAAGTGTTACATAGTAACGGTAGTTTATGCGATTTGGTGAAGACTTTGGATTCCCGATTAGAAAAAGAGGCTGAGTGGAACTATTTTTTTGAGTATCAGACTCTGTCAATATGTGTTGGAATAGCATCTGTTAGTAGTGAAATATTGCCTGCTGTTGACTATATACTCTTAGAATACTTGATGCCACAAATTCTTTCTATCGAGCATATTGAAATGGCACAGTGTTTATACTTCGATGCGACATTAGTCAACTTATCAGTAATTGGATTGGATAACAAGAATGAAAATGTAGATGATCAATTTACAGAAGATGTTTATGACGCGAAGCAGATTTTACTTAAGTCAATGATATCAAAAGTGGATCAAATTAATATTAAAGAGACCTGGCAAATCACTGATAAACGACCTGGAAACAGCCAGAGAAAACACTTTGTTATTGTCCTTGATTCTATTTCTTATATGTGTACATGTATGTCAAATATATCCCATGGTATTCTATGCCAACATTACTTTCAAGTAATGTTGGTGTCACGAATTTCTGGATTTCATATTGGAATAGTGGTATCACGTTGGTATTGTAATAGCAAGAAAAAGAAAATTGATCAGGAAAATGTGATTTTTGCAAATTCAGATGCTAGTGAAGCTCAACAAGGTCAAAAAGCACCTTTAATTCCTCAACCTTTTACAGTTCCCGTTCAATAGCAATAAGCAATCGAAGTGCAGCAGCCAGGCGTTCTAAATTTGGTGAAATTTGGGGTCTTGCGCGGCAAGCTGTACAATTGGCTATAGAATGTGATGATAATGATATGGAACTATGGTTGAAATGTTTTATTAATCAAAAGAAGCATCTTTTAATACAAAATGAAGAGCCTAAAGACAGTGATGACAGTAAAGATAGCAAAAAGGAAAATAATTCTACAATCAAAAATCCAGCGATTACCAAGTATAGGGGCAGACCTGCGACTAAAAGATTCAAGGCTGCTACAGAAAAGCCTCGCCATCAGACGTATACATGTCGAAGCTGTGGTAAGACTAGGCACAATAGTGCAAGATGTCAAAAGAAAGGTGGTTAATTTGATATTGGGAGGTTTGTCGATTGTTATTTGCATGTTATTTGATATGTGATGTTGTTTGATATGCGGTTGTAGTTTGATATGTGATTGTTATTTGATGTGTGATTGCGATTGTTATTGATGTGTGATTGCGATTGTTATTGATGTATGATTGTTGTATTATGTGTGATTGCTACGCTATGTTATTGATTAACTGCATCTAAGCGATTCTAGGTTATAGTTTATTAGAATAGATAGATGCAAAATTCAATAGTACGTACATTGATAAGATGTTTAATTGGGTAAGTATATGCTATAGAGAAATCAGCTATCGTATGTACATAACATATGTACTATCGTAGTTTCATGTGTCTATTCTAATTTATATTATTTTGCTATTTACTTGGGTCTAATGAAATAACGCGCAGGTGTGTTATTTTGAGTTTTGGCCCAAATTAAGCTTAATTCGAGCCAAATTTCGAAATTACACCCTTGCGTGTTAATTTCGGGAAATATAGTAAGACTGATTGCATTGCAGTTTCGAATTGCAAGTATATACTAATATATAGTGCTATCCCGAATCCTAGGATTTTGATTTGTACTTTGAATTTTTTATTATAATCAATAAATTTTGAATTTTATATATAAAGTCATGTGGTTTAAATTAATAATAAATATGAAGTAATAAATAACAAATGTTACATGCTGTTATAAATAAATTTATCCATATCTATTATGCATAAAAATTAGAATAATAAAATTATAAATTTAACTTTTATTAGATAATATTTATCTATCTAGTACTATAAAAACAATTTATTAATTTATTAATAAATTATAAAATATAACTATATTTTAAATAAATAAATATTTATAATTAAATTATTTGATTTTTGAAAAATTATTTTATGATTTATTATAATTTTAGAATACTCTTAGTTTAATATTCAATTTTTTAAAACTTTTTATGATAATAGTTGATAGCTTGAATACAAATTTTAAAAAAATCAATAAAAAATAGATTTTTAATTATAGAAAATAAAATACTACAAAATACAAAAGCTTTTAATAATAAACTATTTATAAAATTTATCTGCTCTTTAGATAAACTATTTTTAATTCAAGAAAAATAATTTGAAATTGTATGTTGTTTTGTAGTTTTTTGTTTTTTTAAAGTATTTAAAATAAATTCTATTTTATTCACTTATTATAATATACTATATGAACTAAAATTATTTACTAAATATTATTTTTAATGTAAAAGCACTCTAATACAAAGTAAGCCTAAATATTGCTAATTCATCTTTTGTCTATTTGCTATATAATATTTATATTTTGCTAAATAATATTTAAATAAATTGTTTTACATTTTTTAAAATAATACTAATAGAGTTTTTAAGTTTAGTTTAGTTCAGTTTAGTTTAGTTTGAATTTAGTTTTTAATTTTAATTAAATTTAAAATAAATTTTAAATTTTACAAAATTTTAAACTTAAATATAAAAGATTTAAGTTTTAAAATTTGTAAAATTTAAATTTTTTTTTAAATTTAATTAAAATTAAAAATTAAACTCAAACTAAACTAAACTAAACTAAACCAAATTTAAAAACTCTAAATACTAAGTAGTATTTAAAATCTGTATTTCTTAATTTGATATTTTATAGTATTTAAAATTTATTTTATTGATTCTAAAATTTGGGTTGAAAATATTAAAAGATATAGTGATTTTTGTCTTTAGTTAAAAAAGATTCATTATTTTGAAATATATAAATTTTTTTTTTTATAAAAATTAAATATATATATAGAGAAAATTTAAATAATGCTTCCATGCAATTTGTGGCTCTCTAAGTTTTGATAATAAACAAAGGTAAAAACTAATATTAGAGTTAGGGTTAGGGTTAGAGTTTTTTTAAGTTAAGAACATTTTTTATTAGTTATACAATAGGTGTTATCTTAGTAAAATTTTGAGATATTAGCAATTTTTATAGTAAGAAATACACAATATATGGGTACTATCTAGTCATTTCTTATATATATATATAATATTTTTTTTGTTATACAATATATATTATATAGTTAATTAAATTAGCTAATTAACTCTTTCTAATAATCACTTGTATCAAATTTTTTAAAAACAAAAAATTTTAAAAAATTTGTAAATATAAGAAGAAAAATAGCTATCTACAATAGCACCTATTATTTAGAGATAGTTCTCATATGCTATTTGCTAACTGGCTTAGAGTTTATTATCTATTATAAAAACAACTCATGCCATTTAAAAGTAGTTCTCATATACTATTTGCTAACAAGTTTAGAGTATATCACCTACTAGTACAAGATACTAGCAGTATAGTCATATCTAAGGTATATCTCTACGAGTTATATCCCAACCTGAGTTATATTATTATTTTTTAGCTAAATAAATTTTCTATATTAATTTTATCTAATTTATATTCTATTTTATATTAATTTTTAGTTATATCCCTATCCCCAGTAATAGCTATAGTCAAAAGTATATAAATAATATATAAAATACTTAAAATATATTACCAATATTTTTATATAAATAATACTATTAGTTAATAAGTTATTGTAAAGATAATTAAAAATAAATATATACAAATTGATAACTTTTAATTAAGCAATCTAATCTGGATGATTTTATTACTAAAATAACTATCTTAATGAAACAGTTACAATAAGTTTAAAATTACTAAGGTGGTTATTTAAGCAGCAAAAATATCTAAAATAGATTGCTGGATAAAAAGTTATTAATTATTAAACATATATTTCATTTTAAATTTTAAATTTTAATTGGTTAGTGATTATATAATAAAAGCACAATACTCAAGTTATATTTCTACCTTAATAATATCCCCAAAATTGCTCTAAAAAAAAAGAGGATATAACTCAGGTATGATTGTACTTCACTCCTTTTACTAGTTAGGATCTATACTCTTATTTTGTAAAAAAATAAATACTCTTTAAGAAAAGATACAAGTACTTTTTTAATACTCTCTCTGCTTCTTTGCTACTTTTCTAAAATATTCAACAAAAAGATCAGCATTGTTTACTCTTTTCAATTTGGATATATTTAGTAGAATGCAATTATATATTTTGTTTATTTACAAACATAGTACTACTCTACAAATTAGATTAGAGTCAAATCAAAACTTGACAGTTAAAAAGATGTCTAAATATAGTTGGTTAGTTGAAAGAAAAATTTATGTTAAAGTAAAGCTTTACAGTAAAGATATACAACTATTGCAAATATTATATAATTTTTATCTACCTAATATAGGTTATAATAGTGTTTTATTATAAGCTTTTCTTTTTTGTTTTTAGTTGAGTTCATTCTTGTAGTTTTTTGTTAGTTTTTTATATTAAACTCGTTTTCTTGCTTATTATCCCTTAAACTGTATTCTAGACAAATTTGCCTAGAATTTTTAAAAAGTATTTATATTTTTTTAAATAAAATTAAAAATTATTAATAATATGAGGTATATTTTATATATACAATATTTTATTTAAAACATATTC